ACGAGCAGATACATAACAATATGATACATTATATATTAATAAGTGAACAGGGCATATTGTTATTATTTGGCACATGTTCAACTGTTTCTACAAAGCTTCACAGATAACTGATAGTGTTGTTATCTTGAAATCCCTTATGCGTTCAATATTATTAATCACTGTCAATGAAACATTCTGTATTTAAATATCTTTTTAATTTGATTGTTTTTACAAAACTTATATCCAAATTACTGATATTATATATTGCCATCCATATTCTGCTTTCCCCAATTGTCACTGGTGATACTTTACCCGTATCTTGGAGATATCACCTGTCAACGACCTCAGTCCAAGCTGTATGACATGTCATGACATAGTGTGCATTAAGAAATGCTTAGTTATATATATTTTATTTTATAACAAATTAAAACAACATTACTAATGAACTGTTGTTTTATATAATAATAATAATAATTATAGTTATTTTTTGGTCATTAACCTATCAACACAGTCTGACACACTTTGCATCACTTCAACTGGGGAAGGACATTTATGCAAAAAACATACAATAACTCTGAGCATTCCTCATAAAATCTTCTAAGCTTTTGTTAAATTTTATAAGTATTTTGTACATAAATAATGACATTATTAAAATTAAATCTTTCTAATAAACATGTTATTTATTTATAGTAGTCATCTGCACTCAAACTGTTAAAATAGTTTGAGTGCAAGGTGATTTTGATTTTAAGTATAAAAATACTTTTCTTCATGTCATAGTTTTCATATTTCCTTTGCATAACCTCTAGAACCTCCTAAATGAATGTCAAAAGTTTTTAAGGTAAATGTTTATATTTTTCATTTTCTCTACCAAATCACTATCTCTAGATATAATCATCAACATACAATGCAATGAAACGATTAAAATTAAAAAACAGAATAAAAAAGTACATACCTTTTTATTTTTTGTAGAATATATTTAAAGATATTGTTTCAGTTATGTTAGTAACTTCAGGTCTTGTCCTTTTCATATATAGTTAATTTTTAATGTTTTATTTTCTTGTTCTTTACCATTTACTCTTTACATCAACACAAGACAACATTGCCCTCAAGGTATATTACAGTGCAACACTTCATCAAAATGTTCATGCACTGCATAATATCGTAAGCCTTGAGAAGTGATGCAAAAGTACATTGTATATTTTTAAAACGTTTAAACCTTTCAATTATGAATTTTAAAACATAACTAATATATAAAATATAATAGTAAGACCTAAATACAATGTAAACTGTATCTCTAACTATAACATACCGTAAGTGCTATAGTCAATCAAGCAGCTAACAATACTACATTTAGTTACATGTACTCAATGACAAAAACTGTGTACCAATTTCAAAATAACTGTTGCTAGATTAGAGTGTAAAATGAGCTCTTTCTAATGACTATACACATGTGTATGTAACATATACATTTAGGCTATGAAGCTCAAACAAATCTGATGAAGGTGGACATAAAAAAATGTATTACTTATTTCAACTGCATTCATTCAGAACTTTGAAATGTACGAGTCAAATGGTTATGTAAGTATCCTAGAGTCTAGATGTACATCTACACAGCTATCATTGTATTATTCAAGATACAGAGTTACACAGTAGAGAATTTTCATAGCTCGTTGGTCACGTGAAGTTTTAAGTATTTTTTAAAGGTTTTTTAAATTAAAGGACTTAAAACCTACATAACATAAAAATTTTAATCATAAAATACATTATGATTTTAGAATAACTTCTGAGGCAATACACATTTCTATACACAGAAATCTTGAAGTACATCAAGACACACATGTTATGACAGCAGTAAACTGGTTCATGATTTCCAGTTTTAATAGCTCAAAGAAATTCTCATGGTTAAGTTTTGATGATGATAAAGGTCTCATGCAATGCACTATATGCAAGGAGTTACCAACTATTGCAGTTTGATTGCATTTTGATGGATAGAAAGTGGAAAATGTGGATTTTCAAAAAGATATCTTAAAGAGACATTAAAGGAATAATCTCCATTTCAACTGCCAATGCAAAGTTTGCAAAAAGATAATCCCAAGAGAAACCCTAAAACTCTAGATTGGAAAACATAGGGTTGTTGCTGAACATCAGATTTATATAGTGAAAGACAATATAGCTTTCTACAAATTT